TCTAGAACTCCTTTATTCTTATTTTTGGTAGCAACAACTACAACAGTACAAAAAGCTGTCAACTTCATAGTCATCTCAGACGCCCCAAGTACCCTTTAAGATGCCCTCATGCCCCCCCATTACGTACACTTAGGTTCTTACTGAGGGGTATTTGGGGGGGGTGCAGGCCCTAAACCTTAAACCCTGCAGTTGCCCCGCGGGTTAGACGGGTGGCAAAAGAAACCCTAAACCCTAAATGGTGCTGTGTGGTGTTTCACGCTGGCGAAACTTGCTGCAGAAGCCCTAAACTGGCCCTAAACCCTAAACCCTAAACCCTAAGTTGCCTCTGCAACATTGTCCCCTTCACTGCAGAGGACTGCCGACAGTTCGCCGAGGACCTCGGGGCCGCGCGCGAGGCGGAGTTGAAGGGTGCCACCAATGCCTACGACCAGCCAGCTGGCATCGAAGTTGGGAGGGTTCAGTGTCAGGAGTTTAGGGTGTATAGGGTTTAGGGTTTATAGGGTTTGGGGTTAGGGGCTGGGGTTTCGGGTTTAGGGTTGTTTGGGGTTTTGGGGTTTGGGGTTTAGAATTGTTTGTGTGCTGGCTAGACCTGCGGTCCAGGGGCAAAAAGGGGTTTAGGCGGCAGAGAAAAGGAGAACTCCAAGAACTGCAGTGCTTGGAAGGTCTGACGTGTGGCTTCTCAGGGTGTGGGTGTGTGTGTGTGGGGTGTGTGTGGATCCGATTGATTTGGGCAATACAGATTCCATGCATGCATTGGCCATGCATCGCCAGTCCTTCTAGCCACACACGAGCAAACCGAAACCACAAGCTGCAAGATTCCTCGTTCGGTTCCCAGGTGCTGCCGGACAGCGTGGGAGGAGAAGTCGCAGGCCTAAACCCAAAACCCTAAACCACAGCTCGTGTTCTCCGAGAACACTGCTTGTTTTTGCACCGGTCTCTTGAGCGCCCCAACCATACTCAATCATCGTCTCTTTGTGGCAGGTTTCCGTGTGGTTCCGTTGTGCTGAAACACTGCCTTACAGCCAAACAAGTCTTGCGTCTCTCTGAGCTCATTGCCGCTGTAGTTTGATGTTTGCTTGGGTTTCAGAGCCAACTCTCCAAGTCTTAAAAGTCAGTGATGCTGCCTTATCTTGATTTCGTGCGCACTGGGTTGTGTGGGGAGGAAAGCAGAGCGAGCATCATGAGCACTCAATGGCCGTGAGGGCGGAGCGTCATGAACAGCACAACATCAGCCGACCTGGAGTCTGGAGTTGTCCACACTGCGGTGCTCTTTTGAGATGCTCTGTGTGTGGCAACGGCTGGAGTCAAGGAGACTTTCGCGAGGTTGTGTCTGAGCTGTCAATCAGGTCCCAAAGGCGATCCCTCCCCCACTAAAAAACATCACGGACTTGGTAGGAATGAATCATAGTTTCTTAGAGGGAATTACTTTAAGCATGCTACGGTTGCTCCACTTGGAGCTGGCGGCTAGGCGGTGGGCCTGCCACTGGCCTCTGCGATGCTGGCGCTGGTGCTGGCATGGATGCACGGGCCTTAGAGGCTGAAGCGTTGCAGTGTGCACTTTGTCAGGGTCTGTCAACGTTAACAAGACCGAAGCAACCCTTGTGTGACCGTGCCGGGAGCAAGAGAGACGGAGGCAAACAGGAGGGGGAGAGCAACAGAGCAGAAAAAAAACAAAATACAACAAAGAAACAAAGAAAGAAAGAACGAGAGACATAAAGAAGGAAATAAAAACAAATGAATGAACGAACAGACGTTTGTTGCCTCTTTGCTGTGAAAGTTGACGCCCGCGAGGAAGCCTGCGCGTTTTCCAACGTGTCACGCACCGACTTGGAACCCGGGCTCGCATTGCGCACGGGGGGGCACTCGGGTTCCCTAAGACTTGCAGAAGAAAAAAGAAGGCGAAGAAGAAGAAGAAGAAGAAGAAGAAGAAGAAGAAGAAGAAAAAGAAGAAGAAGAAGACTAACATGAAGGATAAAAAGGCAGGACGAGGCAGAAACATCTTGAGCTGCCCTTGGTCTCGGGCAGTACAGGTTTTTAACATGGCTGAACAAGAGGTTGGCAAACAAACCAATACGTTGTTTTCTGAAAGCTGAAGGGGTTCGGGAGGAAGTCAACAGGGTTTGAGGTCTCACTTCAGCTCTCAGTCAATGTACGCACAAGACGCCACAATGTCAGTACGGACTGCTTCTGAGGATGTGAGCCATGGCTGTCGCAGCCACATCCTTCTCGCCAAGTGACCCGTGGAGTGAACAAAGGACTTCGCGGGTGCGGATTGCAAAAAAGAACTGAGAGCTTAGTCGAGATGCCTGGCCGCAGCTTGAATTCAGCCAACCGATCGGGCCGTGCTTCTAATTATAATAATAAACGATAACTATATAATTATAATAACTATAGTAACTATAAATATCTATAAATAGCTATAACAGTATAAATAACTACTACAACTATAATACCGATTGTCACTCTAGTAAGTATACATGCTCATGCCCTTTCAATCTGAGCACGTCAGGTGCCAAAGATGCGCTTCCTTGGCCGATGCCGAGCCGGTCTCCGCCGCTCTTCGCGCCTTGGATGGGCGAATGATTCTGCACCATAAACCCTATAAACCCTATAAACCCTATGAACCCTATAAGCCCTATAAAGCCCTATAAACCCCTCTAAACCCCATAAACCCTATAAACCCTGTAAACCCCCATAAACCCTTTAAAGCCCCAAATCGTGTTGGGCTTCTCTCTCTCTCTCGCTCTCTCTCTCTCTCTCTGTCACTCTCTCTCTCTCTCTCTCTCTCGCTCGCTCTCTCTCTCTCTCTCTCTCTCTCTCTCGCTCGCTCTCGCTCTCTCGTTCTCCCTCTCTCGCTCTCGCTCTCGCTCTCTCAGTTTTGGCATCGCTCCCTGGCATCCATGCCCAGGACGGCGACGGCACTTCTGGCGCCTGGTCCACAGCCGTTGCGCCGAGAGCATGGGGGGTTGTTGTCATTTCAGTGACAACAGCGGGCCTCAGGTACTAGAAACGGATTCGGAAGAAACGACCGCGAATTCCCCAACCACAAATTAACGTATGCTCCTGCTCTTGAGGCTCCAAGCGCCCAGCCTTCCTGTTGAGGCGCGATGCTCATGAGAGACATCCCTGCTCTTGGGGTCCTTGAGATGTGGTCTATTCCAAATCTCCGTCAGCACGAGTGAAGCTGGGTTATGTTGCATGTCCCCAGCAAGTGCAAGATTCCATGTGGGAGTTGAAGCTGCGTGTGAGCATAAGGCGACCCTGAACCCTGCAGCCTAGTTCGGCGAGCTGTGCGGGCGGCACACGGCAAACAACATGAAAGCGCAAGAAAACTGCCGGAAGCAGCTGAAACATCCCCACTCGTACATGCTCAACCCCTAGATCGCCGGGAAGGTTTGGACGAACCGCCGAGCAGCTTGTGCCTCTTGTGGCATTCTTCCAGAGGCTCTGCTTGTGTTGTGAGCTGGTGCCTGCCCGTTGGCCCAGTGATTTTGGGTCGTGTTCAGAGGCCATACTGTCATGTCACACACAGCAAAAGGATCCCACTGCAAGTTTCCATCAGGAATTAGGGTTTAGGGTTTAGGGTTTAGGGTTTAGGGTTTAGGGTTTAGGGTTTAGGGTTTAGGGTTTAGGGTTTAGGGGTCTCAAGATTTTTCCGGCAAAATGAGGGGCATGATGTGAGACCCTTTGTGCCTGCTGCCCCTGCAACGCTACAGCACGGCAGCATGCAGAGCCTGCATATGGTTTAGGGTTTAGGGTTTAGGGTTTCTATACATATATATATATATACACAGTTGTTTTGTTTGGGGGGGAGGGGGGCTCTTTAAACATCTTCGTTCCCAGCGTCTGGGCTTTCTAATTCTTCACAAACCGAACCATGGGACACAATAGGGTTTTTGGCTGCCTTTCAAAGCCAGCTTGCTGTCGCCCACGCAGGTCGTGTCCAGAAACCACCTTCCACCTGATTGTGACATTCTTGTGATGCCTGGAGCTATCCGAGTCTTCAGGCACCGGGAGAAAAAAAAAAGGCATGGTGACAGAGCAACACCGGCATTCTTGAAAGCTTCCAGGGCAGACCACTGAAACCCCACAGGCCCCCCGCTCCCAAAGGTTCCCTTTTGGGGTCCTATATATAAGTACGGCATCTTATAGAAGGAGCCCCAAAAGGCAACTTATAGCCAACGGCCCATATACAATATCATCAGAGGGCTGCAATGCGTCAACTTTGGGGGGGTTGCCCAGGTTCCTCTTTCCACCAGGTTTGGGGCTCCTACAGCGGCCCCAAATTCTCAAGCTGTCCCCACCCAACCCCTCCAAGAAACAAAATTCTTACTGGCTCAAGGAGGCCATGAATCGAATGTTTTGGGGAGTTTGTGGTCCAGTTTTCCATGACCTGATGTGTTGAACATGTACGGATTTTTGTTGAGCCCGGCTGCGTGCTGGGAATGCATTGGGTCGAAAACACCATCTGACACGTTGAGAGTAGTATGGAGTTTTTCTCGCTGAGCGACGGTGATTTCACTTCTTGCCCAGGACATCCTGTCCTCCCAAGATCCACATTGTTGCAAAGCCAAAGGGGTGTACATGGATCATGGGACGTCAATATTATTACCTAAGTATTTCTAGAGATGTAGAGAAAGACAGGGGCGCAAAGATTCAGCCCATCCGGCTGGTACATACGCACATACGTACATACGTTTTTAGGCATGTGTATGCACGTATGCACGTACATGCATACATGCATGCATACGTACCAACTGGCCTACCCGTACACCTGCCTACACTTGGGCATGCGCACACGGACATGCATGCTCCACAATCTGTCGTAGTCGTAGACTACCGAAAACCTCGACTACTGCTGCCATGGATGTTAAGGGTTTAGGGTTTAGGGTTATTCAGCGACATGGGTGATGGCGGGAAATCACTCGTGGTTCCGAGTTTCGCTCTGGCTCGCGGGAGTCTGGAGCGAGTAGCTAGGACCAGAGGCACCGCCGAGCCCCATGCCGCTCGCATTCCCGGCGACGCTGCCTGTGGACTTGTATATTACTTATTTGCTGCTTGGCGTTATTTTCTTCAGCGCCAAGCTCGGCCAGGAGCAGGGGCAGGGGTGAAGCAAGTGTGCAGGGGTTGCTGTGATCATCTTGGAGGTTCAACACCTCATGCGCACCGAATGATATGTGTTGAAAAGTGCCTGGCTCTTGGTACACTGATGCAAGCCTGCAAGCAAGTAAACACGAGCCAGAAGTCTAACAAGCGGTCTTCAAGTCAGCCAGGATGCAGCAGGCTTGGCTGCTTGGCTACCGGCAGGAGGAACTCCACGAGAGCAGTTCACCTGCGAGGGCTTAGACTTTCAGGCTCCGAACCCTCGTTTTCCATATCCGTGAAGTGCGTGAAGTGCATGGGTTCTTGTGTGTTGCTGGAGGGCATTCCCATCCCTCTCGCAGGCCACCATGGCGCGATGCGTTGCGCCCTACTTTTCTTGGAACTTGCCGCTGGCCGCCATCTTCATTGTCCAGCACAGTTTCCTTAAGAGGCCCATCCATCGAGCTTTTGGCTTCCAGGGTCGTCGAGGCTATAGCCTGGCAAGTGCGGTCTCCTTGCATCTCTTCATGAGGCTGTACAAGGAGAAGGGTTGGCACCCCTGAAAGTCCTTGCTTGAGGCAGTTGAGGGGTACATTCGGGGATTCGTTGGGTACGTATTACCTCCAGAGAGGCAAGATTTTGGTAGGACCTGGATGTCGGCCTGAACCTGGATCTCTCCATCCTGGGCGTGACCTCCCAGCGCCATTGCTTGGCCTCCGCGTCCGTGATCTTCGTGAGCTTCGGCTTCTTCATGGCTCATGACAAGGGGAGCTGGTTCCGGCAGATCCTTTTCGAGGCATCCCCGAAAGCCAAGTGCCCGGTAAACATGGACGTCGTCACCGGCATGGGCACCTGCGTGTAGCCCAGGCGATGTTAAGGGCTGCGCCGGATGGGTAATGTTCGCGTAGCTACCCTTAAGAGAATCTTACGGACAGGATAGGATGCAGATGCTAGGAGGAGTTGTGCACGTGAGGTATCGGGAGATCGGCTGGCTGGGTTTCCTGCTCTTCAGTGGCCTCTCCACCATACCGAGACGGGTCACCCTTGGGGACGTGCTGATGCGTGCCTTCGCCGCGGTGTACATGTGGCTTTGCGCAGCTCATTTCCGACCGGCTGCCGCGCAGTATCAAGGTCATTGGATCGCGCGCGCGGTGGTGGCAGGGGCAGCTTGCACGCTGACGAGTTGTTGTCCGTTGCGAGGGCCTGATGCCATGCCAGTTCTTGAACGGATGGCGAGTCCAGAGTGACTTCGCTTCCACGCTTGCCAAGCACAGTCTGTTTGCCCAGACGGTGCTCACCAGAGATCCTGAATGGTCTGAGCTATGGCACAGGGGCCTGAGCCTTGTAGGGCCACATGAGCCACTGCGGCAAGAACAGTGCCCGAGAGAAGTGGGCAACACCCCAGGTTTTAGTCATCCGGGTGGACCCTACACAAGTCTACCAAAGTAGACTACTTGTTTTCAAAGCCTCCATAGGAGCAGATCTCAGTACTGTACAGGACCAGTATGGCACCAAGGTCGGCGAGCAAGGCCAGCTTGCGTGTCATGAGGTTCTTGCTGCTAAGGATCCTAAACAAAATTCCATAATTAGTTACCAAACCTCATTAGTTTTCTCTATACACGCTCGGCTTCACATACATACACGTCTATGTGTATTACGTATCGATCAAATGCATATCTATATATATATATATATATATATATTTATTTATTTATTTATTTATTTATTTGGTTATTCATGTATTTATTATTGCCTGTGTTATGGTAACTTATTTTAAGCTCCTCAGCAGCAACTCGAGTCGTCCACATCAATGCTCAGCAGCTCAGCTCTTGGCTGGCTCTTGGGCTGCCTGCGGCGCCGTAGATAAGAGCACGAGAGTTCAGATCCAAAGAAGCCTGGGAGGGTTTAGGGTTTAGGGTTTAGGGTTTAGGGTTTAGGGTTTAGGGTTTAGGGTTTAGGGTTTAGGGGCAACCGGAAGTTCCTCGGAGTTCAGTTCCGTTCAGAGCTCGGCTTGGCAGAACCCGACGTCCCATGGATTCTTCTGGGTAGGGAATGAGGGAGTGAGGACCCTATATAATCCTTTAAGGGTTATATATAGGGCAATCATTCCCTCATTCCCTACTAAGGACCAGGGGGTCTTTCGCCACGCGCAAGGGGGCATCAGACTAGAAAGCCCCTGCTTCTCCTGGCACAATTCCTCTCTGCAGCCTTTCGAGGATCTTTCTGGAACCTATGCCTAGCGAATGTTCTCGTTTTCAAGCTTTCGAGGTCGGACGGAGGGCGCTACGCTAGCTTCTACGACTCAGCAGTTTCTACACATGAAGCGGCTAGCTTGCGCTTCTCGAGGGCCAGCACTTAAACGCCTTACCATGGCATGAGCCCTGCGAAGCTTTGGCTCCATTTTAGGCGGAGCCCACGAACATGACCTGAGCGACATACCGACTTGCCAGCTAAGAGACTCGAAGGGGTGACACCATCGCCGGCTGCGAATTGCAGAGTTGCCAGATGGTTCCTCTCCTAATGGACCGGCGGTGATGGAAGCTACTCCTGTAGTGGTTTTCTGGTCAAGGTTAGACGGCGGCGGCTTGTAGAAGATGGCCATGAAGTTCATATAGCAGCGTAGCTGTGGGGGGGGGGGCTGGTAGGGCCTGCAACACCATCACTAGTCACTAACCCTAGCCCGAGCCACACCTTTATATCAACGAAACGCGTCAGCATTGCTTTGCCAGAGAGCCGCACACCTGGGGCGGCCATGGATGACGACCGCAACGTGGTTGCATGCCAACTCGCTGCTTTCGGACGCACAGCTTCCCTTTGAAATACCCAGAAAGAACATTGAAAACTGCCTTTCTGGGGGAATTAGCTGCTTTAAGGGTGCTGTGGGGACATCATGACCTTGTAGGGCCTGAATGGGCTTTGTAAACCTTGGAGAAATCTTCACCTCAATTACAGCACATGCGGAAGCCACAGCAAGCACAATCATAAGACAGACACAGCAGCGATAAGAAGTTGGAAGACAGCAAACTACACCTCGGTGTGGGGCTGTTAGTTGTTTGCCCCCTTCCCCCGGGAATCCCGGCGAGTATCCCTGGATCCCTGGAGGATAATCCCGGCGAGCCGGGGCGAGTATCCCTGCACAGAGTATTTCTGCCGTGCCCACCTCTACCCAGATCTTCCAAAACCCCTTAATTAAGGAGCATACCCTAATTAATAATAATGATCCTTAGTATAAATTAGGGTATACTCCTTAATTCAGGGGTTTTGGAAGATCTGGGTAGAGAATCCCTTCGAGTATCCTTGTGGACTTTAGACTTTGCGTCTTCCACTTCTCTTCTGCGCGAGTGCCCGCCAAAACATCCGTGGGCACCGTACCCATTGATTACTTGTCCGAATGAGGGAGGGCAGCTCACACAGGTTCATGTGAGGGTGGGGGTGATCTTGTTTCCAGCTCGCCTTTGTAACACTAACACTCACAGCAGAAACACTGATAGCAATAACAAGAGTGAGAAGAATAAGAAGAATCGGCGGTAAGTTGCCAGTTGCATGTGCCACCAGAAGTCGCCAGTTTAGGGTTTAGGGTTTAGGGGTTAGGGGTTAGGGGTTAGGGGTTTAGGTTTCAGGCTTCATCGAAGAGATTCAGCAGGGTCTTGATGCCCCTCACGTTTTTCAATGCCCAAGGCAATGTTGCCAAGAATCCGGCCACCGAAGATGAGAAGACGTCACTTTGCCTTGGTATCAGCAGATAGTGCTCCAAAGTTGGATGGAAACATCACCTGCGCATGAGGATTCTTCGCAACTTTGTGGCCAGGGATGCCACGCCAGAGGAAGCGTCGGGGGTGGGGTGGGGGGGGATTGCAGCCTCGTTACGGTGATTGCCGAAGCCGGCAGTTGATGCTCATGCTGGATAGCCATCTCGTCTGTTCCACAGGTCTAGCTTGCCGTGTGCTTGAATTCACATGGCATGCTGCCCAACCTCTTCTCAACTTGGCCTGTACTGTCTGTCAGCGTAGCACGCTCAAGACATGCGATGCGTCAAGATCAAAAACATGTGTTGGCAGGAAAGGGATAGCTTCCTTGTCAAGAACTATGCCCACCTGAACGAGAAAGCTCGTGGCGTGTTCCAGGCACCAAAAGCTGATCTCCACACTTCTGGGTCCTTTATGGCAAGCGGGGGGTCCCTGGCGCTTCTCAACTGCTCGTGTGCAAGTCGCTAGAAGTCCAAGGTCCCATATGTTTTGCAGGTATCAGATCTTGAGGCTGCTAGAGGCAGTGCAAGTGGCATTCCACAAGAGAGCATGACCCACGAGATTAAGTCTAAACGGTTCGCGATTCGGGGCCACTTGGACGTTCAAGTGTATTACAACACCCTCCATGGCAGCGTGTTGCGGCCACACTGATACAGCCTCTCTATACTGCATTCTCGCGCTTCCAAAGTCCAGGATATGAGCCCGACCGACCAGCCAGTGCCTCAGCATCGGGAGGAGGACCGGTACCCACTCTCTCTGAATGAGGGCACGCAGGATGCCTCGAAGAGATGGAGGCTTCAGGGCGAGGACTGTTTCACACACGGTGCAGTGTGCCGGCCATGAGCGTAGAGTGGAAGCTGCAGGCAAAAGGCTGGAATTCGGACATAGCGGCATTTTTGGCGGATGAGTGAGGGCGCATGAACTTAATCCACTTGGTTTGTAGGTGCAAGAGCATGAGGGGTCAGTCGGTCTGAGTGGCTTTCAACCAGCCAAGTTATAGAAATATACATATATATATATGTATATGTATGTATATGTATATATGTATGTATACATACGACCTATATGTATATACGCACTATATATACATACCTACATCACACACACACACATATATATATATATATATGTATACACGTTTATAGAGTTCCATAGCCATTCTGCCTCGATCTGGGTGCTGCCTCAATTTTGAGTGCTGCTTCAGCGGGGGGTTGTGCGCTGAAGCAGCACGCTAAAATTGAGGTGGAACGATAGTCGAGGGGGGCACGCTGTGAAAATCAAGTTGGTTTCGCTAGAAAGGCTATTTTGTTTGAGAAGAAACATGCCAGGCCAAATTCCCGTGCCAAATGCATGCTGCCTCGATTTGGGTGCTGCCTCAATTCGGGTGCTGCTTCAGCGCGTGGGCTTCGCGCTGAAGCAGCACGCTGACATTGAGTTGGAACGATACTTGAGGTGGAACCGTTTGGGAAACCCTTGAATATAGCTCTCCCGCGAGCTGCGAAGCCCCGCAGCCCCGCCATGATCGGCCATGTGAACCAAAACCCCTGCAAATCCTGTAAAGTTCTTCAATGCAGGGTTTCGGGTTAGGGTTTAGGGTTTAGGGTTTAGGGTTTAGGGTTTAGGGTTTAGGGTTTAAGCCCTCGCTGCCCAGATACCGGGTCATCTTCGATGGCCCCATGAAGGAATCTAGAGACCCTGACGGGATCTCAGCCTCTGGGGGGGTAGGGGGGTTTTTTGGGCTGCATGAGCACCCTGCTCTCTCACCTGCGTCATCCAGGAAGAATGCCGGAATCAGATTGAGGTCTGCACACATCCAGGCGAGGAGCGTAAGGACAGAGTTGAAGGCATCTTAGCCCGTGCCATCCCGTGGCCAATCTCACGACATGCTTCTTTGGACTTCAGGGCACGCTGCCGCATGCGGCATGCTTGGAACTTCGTAATTTCCTTCCAACTCTTAGGTGGAGATCCTCTATGGGAGAGTCAAGCGGACACCGGGCTGCAAGACAGGAGGTTAGATGTACTTGAGTCATTCGATGTAGGCCAACCGCCCGCAACAGCCCTTTGCTTGCATGCCTCTGCTGTGCAAGAAGGGACCGGCAGGGTCCGCGCCAGGTTCTTTTGCATCTTTTGCAAGCACAGTACGGAGTTTTCGATACGGTCTTGCATGGAGGCCAAACCCTTGAAACTGCAGCACGCTGCCTATAGCGACAAGACCTGATGCAGCGTAAGAGCGCGAGTGAGCTCTCTTGAGCTGCGTGCCAGGTGTAACCTCTGCAAGCCTTCAGGGCTGAAATGTACCCGGAGCCAAACGACCAACTAATGTTCACATTCCTTGTATCAGCTTGTACCAACAACTAAGCTTAGACACCGTCCCGCAGCGGAGCGCTGAGGTTCCTCGACATGGAGTTACAGCTCCGTGCGTTGTCGGGCCGTCAGCAGCCCAGCAGGGGAAGGGGGGGGGGGGGTGGTCGGTGCTTTTCACAGAACCATGAAAACCTTTAAGGATCCATGTGGGGGCCTTACAGTACCTCCATATAGGGATTTTGGGGCTCAAGTGTATAATAATATGTGGCACATGGACCCAAACGAGAAGGCGATCAGCTTGGTAGGTGGAGTGGAAGGACAAGATCCGACAGTGGCCGGGACGCAGAAGCTGCGACTGGCGTGTGGCTCAAGGGGTTCAGGGTATGGCTGGCCTGGCTCAGCTCAATTGCAGTGGGTAGATCCTGTGGTAGACGCAATGCATCGCCTCGTGATATTTGTCTTCTTGCTCGGCCTTTCCTTCTCATGGCTTCTTTTTGCGCTCTTCTACTTAGACAATCCAAATCAACATGGAGGCCACCGCGCGGTAAGATACAAGACTTGCGTAGCGCACTGTGAACGAGGCTGCCCGGAACACGAGCTGGGCGATCTGGGGGTCGAGCTTGGCTGGACATGCAGCGAGAACTGTGTCCACGAGTGCGAAGTTCAAGACAGTGAGACTCGTGCCAGCCTCCGTGAGCCACAATTGAAGTACAGCCGCGGGCGTTGGGCGTTCTATCGCTTTTGCTACATGGAAGAGTTTCTCTCTGCGGTGTTTTCTCTGCTGAATGGCTTGCCGTATGTATATTATGCCATTCAGGACACCTGCGACGAGCACTGGCTGGCGTCGGTCTTGAGGACGAGCGCGGCCTTGCACAGCATCACTTGGCTGCTATCAGCCCTGTTTCACACACGGCCAACACCCTTCTTCGAGCACTTGGACTACTTGGGGGTGATTCTGACATGCTTGGCCGAGTTTTTCACGGTGCTCTTGAGAGTCGCAGGTCCTGGTGGAGCTTCTAGTTACAACCGTTGCAACTTCGCCCTCATGGCTGGGGCTGTCCTGTTCGGTGCCTATGCTGTAGCCATGCCTGTTTGCAACTTTCAGTGGCAGATCCAGCAGCTGGTCTCACAGGGCGTCTTAGGCACCACGATAGTCCTGTGGATGTGGTATGGCGTACGTGAGCGGCATAACCCCCTGACTCAACATATTGCGCTGCCTTGGGCGTTCTTGCTGTTCTTCTGCGTGCTCGAGCTTGTCGATATCCCTCCCTTCACCATGCCTGGGCCACTCTACGGTCTCGTCGACTCTCACTGCCTTTGGCATCTGGTGACGGTGCCCATCAATGCATGGATTGTCTACGGATGGACTATGGAGCTCAAAACTTACAAAGCCCAAGCAGTGTCTGAAAGGCATCAGAGAAGCAACTGGAGCAAGGCAGATCAGCGCGTATTCTTCTGGTCGAGTCTCTTCCTCATCATCTTCAGCGCGGCAGTTATGCCAAGCTGGCTGAACAGCGGCCAACTCTGCTTGAGACATGCTCGCTGCAGGCAGCAGCTACGCTCAACTTGGCTTGGAAGTATGGATCTCTCGGATCCTCAGTGGCGAGCATTTCGCGAGAAGCTACCACTCCTTTTCGCAGCGGCGCTGATCACTACGGCTCTGCGACGCTATCCGCCCGTGAAGCCAGTCGTCGCACTGGTTTTCTGCATTGCATTGCACGGCCTGGGTGCTGCAGTGTTCCTTGCGTGCTTCTGCGTCGTCTTCCCTCTGCGCGCGTTTCGGCCAGTGGCCGTGGGTGTCAGTTGGTCGCTGGCGCTATGCCTTTTGTACGCGAAGGACATGGAATGGGCGAGAATTTCTAGTCCTGGCCTGGCCGGCTTTCATGATTGGCGCCTTGTGGCCAAATATGTCGCCCTGAGGCTTATCAGCCTGGCTGCAGACCTCACGCCCCAGCATACTCTTGGGCAGGCAGTCGACTTCTTTTTTCATCCTGCGCTTTGGCTGGCTGGACCGCTGATGAGTTTGGATGACTTCTTGGCTTCTTCCACTCCCCAGTTCCGCTTCTGTGCTCTCTACTTCCTACGCTTCCTGGGCCTCTTGCTCCTGCAAGAGATCTTTTTGGTGTCAGTTCCCTTCTTCGCCATCTTGCGAGCCCAGATGACCGATGCGTTCAGCGCCCGCTCTTTTGCCAGCCTTCTTTACGCGGCCATCAATGGGCTCTGGCTGAAGTTTGCTTTGATGTGGCGGTTTTTCCGGCTCTGGGCCTTGGTCGACGGCGTGGAAGCTCCAGAAAACATACCCCGGTGTATCAACACACACCGCACCGTGACGGAGTTTTGGCAAGGGTGGCACTGCTCGTTTAATCGCTGGCTCGTCCGGCACATCTACATCCCCCTTGGAGGCCGGAGGAATCGCTTCTTGAGCGTTTGGGTGATCTTCTTCTTTTCGGCATATTGGCACGATGTGAGCCCGGAGAATTGGAAGCCACTCTTTCTGTGGGGTCTTCTGAACATACTTCACATGAGTCTGGAGTGGGCTGTACGGATGACGTGGAGCAGAGGCCAGTGCCTTGGGGTCCACAGCAGCCCTTGGATTCGGAACTGTTTGGAGTGCGCAGCAGGAATCGTTACCAGCGCCTTCATATCCATGACGACTTTCGTGGGTGTGTTGGGTGGGCAAACTTTTTTGCAGAGCTTCGCGCTGATTGCTGGGTCATCGCCGAACTGGGTTCTCGATGTGGCTGGCATTTCCTTGGTTCTGGGATGCATCGTGCAAATTACCATGGCTTTAGAGGAAGCACGACCTGAACATGCAAAGGGCGACTGAGCCAGACTGGCCCCTAGCCGACACAGCGCCCGATGGCCACCGATCAAGGAGTATTCTCGTTCCACTGTATCTTGGGTTGGATATGTTGCAGAGGAGTGGGTTCAGAGAGTTAAGAGTGCGCCTAGCATGAGTTGAGCTAAAGTGCTTGTGCGCGGCTACTCGCCGAGTTGCAACAGTCGGTCGCACAGCAAAAAGGATGCACAACAGGTCCGGTTGCTTGCAGCTGACACAGCGTTCGTGCGGCCCAGCATAGCCCAAGCATGACAGGAACGGGCAAGGAGCAACAGACCTCCGTCAAGAAGCAGCCCAGCAAGAAAATGCAGGCATCATCCGCGGTTGTCTCAAGACCAAGAGGGCGTGTTTGAATTCCACTGCGGTGCATTCGTCATCTTCGTGTTTGATCGATTGTTGCGGGGTCCGCTTTGTATGGACCCGAGTCAGGAGCTCTCTGCACGAATCGCGCACTCGTTGGACAACCCCATCTACGAGGAGGTCCCAGTGCAACACGGCACAGGGTGAGCTCCACAGGTCTTGCTTGTACCGGGAGGTTCATGCGTAGCTATATTATGCAGGGTTATAAGTACCCTAAATAGGGTTATAAGAACAGCCACCAGACATATACCTCAACCCTAAACCCTAAACCCTAAACCCTAAACCCGAAACCCGAAACCCTAAACCCTAAACCCTAAACCCTAAACCCTAAACCCTAAACCCGAAACCCCTAAACCCTAAACCCTAAACCCTAAACCCTAAACCCTAAACCCTAAACCCTAAACCCTAAACCCTAAACCCTAAACCCTAAACCCTAAACTAAACCCTAAACCTTACAAACCCTACTACTTGTACCCATGAACCTCCAAGTGTAGGCCTCAGGAGCCTCTGAATCCCCCAGATGTCTGAGAAAGCCAGGTGCCGGCTCACGAGCGACGGTGCGCTGGGGTGGACCAGAAGTTGGAGGCCGGGAGTTGAAGGTTTAGGGTTTAGGGTTTAGGGTTTAGGGTTTAGGGTTTAGGGTTTAGGGTTTAGGGTTTAGGGTTTAGGGTGTCACCGAACAATTCCTGACTCTGTTGCGGGCTTTCCCAGGGCCTTATCACTTTGTCACGCTAGAACACATCTGCAACAAAACATAGCATGACGAAACACCCTTCTGAGATAAGATAGGTATATCCCCTGATGCTTATAAATAGTCGATAACCCACCAAGAGTATCTACATAAGCATGTTGTAACTACATATTTTCATTATGCGAAAATGAGAATTCAATATGTGATAAGAATGCAATTTAAGCATGGTGATTTTCAATACAAGCATCTATCAGCTAGTGATTAAATGAAGAGAAGTCTTAGCGAAGTTGCTATAGAGGATGTTAGTCTGGGCTTCTTTGGCCCCAAAAGCTGCATGAACAGGTCAGCCCTTCCAAAACAAAAAACTTTGTGATCCAACAAAAACAAGCAAGGGCTTGATGCCATGCAGGGTTTTTTTTAGGGTTTAGGGTTTAGGGTTTAGGGTTTAGGGTTTAGGGTTTAGGGTTTAGGGTTTAGGGTGCAAGACGCGGTGCTTGGTGGTCCCAGCTGATGCTCAGAGCCTGGGTTCAAAAAGAGTTTAGGGTTTAGGGTTTCTTCCTCTACTTCAAGGGGCCTCTTAGCCGTCTGCCCATGCGCAGGACGCAAAGCCGAAGGTGATGGAAGGCGACGTCTGACATGCGGTTGATGTAAGACTTCGGGGGTTTCAAGCATAGCTAGGCTTTCCAAGATTTGGAATCTTGCTTGCCCAACCCGAACCCCCATATGGCAATGCATGACAGTTTACACACGAATTGCTCGGAAGTTCAAGAGAGCGGGGCCTCCGGATCCTAAGAATGTTGAATCTGTTCGGGGCCCATCGGCGAAGATTTCCCGACTTCAATCTAAGAGTTTAAGAGTCAACTGACCCGTCTTCGACAAGTTTCCACACGAGGCTTCAGAGATACGAGAAGTGCAGCACCATTGAGGGCTCGGTCGTGTATTGTTGCCCAAGACACAGAAGCGTTTGAAACAGTAGTACACGCACGGGCTTACAAGGAATACCCCAAGCAATGCGTGGTTGCCATCGAGTTGCAATCCTTGCCCATGGTGAATCCTAGGCAAATTGGCGTCTTCTGGAAAAGAAGTTTCTTGTCATTTTCGGAGCATATCGTAGCACCGCCTGGAGGGCTACGAAGTGGTGAAGTATGTTGTTTGCGAAGCCTCTTCCGGTGGTGCTTCACACCGAATCAGGCACTGTGAAGGGCATCGGCGGTGTGATTGAGGCTTTGCAGAAAAAGCCAGGGCCTTGAAGGGTTAATTTCGGGTCTCAATTTCTGATGAAGCACATTGGACCGTAGCAAAGCCCCTTCGTGGTGGTGCTCGAGGGGCTATCAGTGCACTGTTTCTGAATTTTCCCAGCACGCACTCTGGACCTTCTGTGCTCAGGTATGCCATGCACAAGGGCGAGCGTGTGAAGGTCCTGGGAGAAGCCAAGGACCTTTGGAAGGTGGAAGGCTCTTCGCCAGGGCAGCGTTTTTTCAGGGGCCATTTTGGGGAGAGCCAGAGACTCAAGACATAAGGCGCAACATGGCTGTGTGGCCCGTGTGTGGCACACAGTTCCACCCATGTTCAAGCTGCGGAAACCTCACGCCTGCTCGGAGCCTTCGCTGGCCGAAGGCGAGCGGACCATCCCCAAGTGCCAGGTGAACACAGGCGGAGGGTTTAGGGTTTAGGGTTTGGGGTTTGGGGTTTGGGGTTTGGGGTTTGGGGTTTATTGGGTTTAGGGTCCTGAACGTGTCCGGGCGGTAACCTTCCAACGCCTGCTGCAAACGGGTTTAAGGTTTAGGGGTTTTAGTGGTTTAAGAGTTTGGGGTTTTGTTTTTTTGGGGTTTGTCGGGTTTCACGGCTTAGGGTGTTTCTGGTTTAGGGTTTATACGGTTAAGGGGTGGGGCTGTAAAGGGTTTAGGGTTTATAGGGTGTAGGGTTTTTGGGTTGAGGGTTGGCTCTGATTCTGGGTTCAGAAGGGAGAGGGCAACGGACGGGACTCTCATAGGCTTTTTGAAAATGGATGTTTCGAGGTCACAGTGAAGTTGTGCAGACCTTCGAGGTTCAGGACCTTGGGAGGTCGGGGATGCCGAGGTTCTGTCGTTTAATTGCGCCTGCAGACCCTAGCGGTTTAGGGCTTTGGGGTTTAGGGTTTCGGGCTTATTGATAGGGGTTACTAAATTGATCGCAAAAAATAAGGGCTGCAGGTGAGGGACCTCCCCATGGTCTGACCCACGTTTTTGCTCTTCTTCCGTTCTGTGCCTTCCCTGAGAATTCCAATTGACCAAGGGCCACCAAGCTACTAGCATTCATACCACATGATGATGCGGCTTCGTGGAATTAGCGCGGCTTTCTCGGGTTCTTGATCCAAGCCTCTGTCTTTTTTGGCGTACATGTGGATGAGGCTGGAAGTGGGTGCTCAAGGGTGCAGAGGACGAAGCGAAGAAGAAAGCAGAAGAGGACGCCAAGAAGAAGGCGGCTAAGGAGGACAGGGACAGAGACGGGAAGAAGAGTCAGCCACGTCTCCAGGAGAGCCTTTTCGATGGTTGTGTTGGTGGTTTCTGGGAGCTGGGCTTCGTGCTCCATAGGCTTTGCCGAGGCTTTGCGCTGCAACAACTCAGATGTAACTTGACATCAGTGAATGATGTGTGGGCCTGAGTCCTGTCATGCAGCTTTATAGAGGTTCGGGCTTCCCAAGACCCCGCGGTCTCTCAAGCCCGGGCCCAGAGAGCCGGAAGAGACGAGGAGGCCAAGAGGCAGGCCGCTGAAGCCAAGCAGCTTGGCTGAATGCCTTGGGCTGGGATGCGGGAGTGCTTTTCTGTACACCCCCTGCCTTCGGGTCTCCATCAAGAACCCCACTGCCTTGCATACATTTTTTCGCACAGTTTTTGGCTTTGTGTGTTGGGCTGCAAGGGAAGCTGAGCTGTGCGTTTGGCGACCCCGCCTGCTGCCCCAGCCCCATGTGGAGCCATGTCATGTTAAGGAAGGCTGATGAGGCCAAGGAGGACAAGAAGGCCTCTAAAGATGGAATCTGGGACTGCCCTAGTAGCAGGTGCTAGCACAGATGTTTTGCAGACTCTGTTCACAAGGAAAGAACAAGAAGGAGGCAGACAAGAAGGACAAGAAGGAGGGAAAGGAGAAAGACCCAAAGAAGGACAAGGACAAGGCCCTGCGCTGCATCCAAGCTTACGTCCTCGTTGCCGTCGGGTCGCTATCGAATACGGTGTGATACAAGCGAATCCTGTGTCTTTTCACGTATTGCGTGTCAAGGCCAAGGAGAAAGAGAAGGAGAAGGAGAAGAGCAAGGACAAGGCAAAGGAGAAGGAGAAGGAGAAGAGCAAGACAAAAAAGTCCGAAGAAGCAAAAGACAGAGGAGCGCCGTCTGTGACGTTCTGGCTGCGCGGAGAACTGATTACCATAATTATACATACATACATACATACATATAAGGGTATTCCTTACGTCACGCAAGGGATACTCCCTGATCATGGGTGTTCGAGCGTCTGAAACGTGTGCCAATTACTTTCAGGATCCGGGTGGAAAGTATTTGCTTCACCGAATGCTGCTTGAGCCCGGTATTCCGCGACAAGCACGGGCCTCCTGAAGTAGCTGCGGCCGTGGACATCTCGCTACAGTTGCTACAGGGTGAACAAACTGATCAAAAGCTCCTCAGCCCATCTCGGCCGGAACCGCCCGTGCCGCAAAAGCAGAGTGGAGCAGGAGCTTCGAAAGCAAAGAAGCGCAAGCACGCCTCCGACAGCGAGGAGGAAGAGGCGTGCAGCTCAGTGCCCTGCTAACTGCTAAGTGGCTACATTGCGGATTCAGCTTCGCGTTCCGTCCGTTTAGTCGCGTCATCGAGGCTCTTTGCTAGGGGTCTATAGGGTTTAGGGTACATGTTGCAGCTTTGCCTTGCTCCGGGGAAGGATTTATTTTGGGCACGGCAGCCCCTTGCCATTGAACCGAGACTTGCTGCTGTTGTTCGACGCGCCAATTTTTCCCTGAGTTCTGCGTTGTTGAGGCTGATTTTTTTTAAAGGAGGTCTTTCAGCTGTCGCCCTTGATCAAAAAGCTGCAAAAGAGTCTTCCAGAATTGCTAGGGCGCGCGCCCGCCTTTTGATCCTTGTGCTTCTTGCAGAGTCCCCCTGTTTCGCGAAGTCTCCTTCTCCTACCTCACAATGATTTAGTTGTCCTCGCAGAAAAAGGGCAAGAGCCAAGGCTTCCACCAGAGGGTAAGGTGTGGGACTGTTGACATATGCCACTCAGAATGTGCCAGATGCGGACCGACACCCTCCCGCGGCACTTCGGACTAAACCCTATACCCTAAACCCTAACCAGAATCCAGCAACGCAAGGCCTCGTGTGCCAGCTCGAGGAAGCGGCCCAAAAAGAAGGCGGCAACTGCAAAGGCTTTGCAGCAGTCGTAAATTTTAACGGTTTAGGGCTGAGGGTTTCTAGGGTTTAGGTTTAGGGGGGGCAGGGTTTAGGGTTTTTCGGGGTTTCCAGGGTTTCTAGGGTTTGTAGAGCTTATGGCGTGTAAAGGGTTTGTGGGGTTTAAAAGGTTTATAGGATTTAGGTTCCCTAAACGGTGGCACCACCTTTCCAGTCATGACGGTTTCGTATGAAGCACAGGCCTCCGCCTGCCTTGTCCCAGCAGGCCAAATCCTCGGAAAGAAGGCAGAAGAGTCGCACAAAAAGCCAGAAGCAGAAGAGGCGGAGAAGCGGCTGGGCTCAATAGTGAGGATGATTCAGTTTTTGCCACTGCTTGGTGCATCGTCATGGCGCTTGTGTTGGGGACAAGCCATTCCAGAGATGACGGCTAAACAATAGCCCAACAGCTGGTCCACTACAGACGGACATGGGAGTTTCGATGCTTTCGAAGCCCCATTCCCCTGAGGCTCTGATGACTCCGAGGGCGAGGACTCCTCCTAGCCCTCGGTTCGCGCCCGAAGCCCCAGGGCAGGAACTTGGGTTTGGAGGGGCGCATGGTTCGAAGAGATGCTAGGCTGAGGGGTCATGGTGTCAAGTTCCATGGTTGTGGAGCGTGGGGTGAGCATGGTCGTATAGCTGACTATGCTACCCCGAAAGTGGCAAGTGCCTGTGTTCTTGCCCCCAGTCCCACCTGCTTCAAGGACTACCAGTGTAGCCGAGCTTAGATCTCGAACTATAGGTGTCTGGGGACGCTGCGCGCGTCGACCCGCGACGCCGGTGCCGCAGCAGTCAGCAGAATCTGTCGGACGGATGGTTTCACCAATGGTTGCCCTCTATACCAGCGTTTCTCGTGCCTGGACGTCTGTATCCGATCGTTATACGTTCATGGACTCTTTGCGGGACTTCTCCAAAGTGCATACAGAGGTCCTGGCACGTTATGTGGGCTCGTGCCCACGGTTTGACAAAAAGAACGGGGGTGACGATTTGTGTGGCCATGAGGTGTGCCAATGCCAAGTCCACACCTTTTGCGGGAAACATTGCAGCCCAGCTTGCAAGATGCCGGTGCTGCCTGGCCCAAGCCCAAAAACATACCAAGTGAAGTTCTGACTCATGTGGCATCAGGGAGAGATTTCCCAGCATACGTTTCCTGTTCACTTAGGCCCCTTGATCTGGAAAACCAGGGTTCGGCTTGGCCAAGTAGTTGCCTCAGTATTGTCGACGCTTGCGTGCTGGGGCCGTGAGGCAGGCGCCGGGAGCAGGGGACTCTTTGCGTGCTGCCCAACTCTTGTGATCATTTTTGCCGTGGCAAGTGCTCTTGCATGACTAGCACTGTCAAAAGTCATGGCTGCAACCCTAAACCCTAAACCCTGCAACCATGAATGAACTTCCAAAGCCTGTGGTGCAGCTCCACTGCTTTTCGGGGGACGGATGTGGTCTTGGACGCGCTCGGGAGAAAGCCATGCCCGGGCGGAGGCCGGCGCACTGACCTGAAGGATCCCAAACCAGGAGGGGCTATTAGGCCTTAGTATCCCCCATAATCAACCCTTTAAAGGACATCTTTAAGGGGTTCCAGGGTATCATGGCCCCTCCTGGAATCACAGGGAGATGTAGGATTACATTGCGGGGCGCATGTGATCGTCCCTGGCCGATTGCTATAAGAAGGGTCGCTGGGGCGTGAATGCAGGTGTTGAAGGTGATCAGACAGTTTAGGGTTTGGGGTTTGGCACTCTTCATCCTCTTCTGCCTGACAGGGTGCCGTGGTTGAGCAGGCTGAGCCTACGTCCGACTCTCAAATCTGCCCAAAGAGCCCAATAACCCTTAACTAAGGAATATTCCCTAAATCATATAGGGATCCTCACTATCATTTAAGGTGCATTCCTTAATTACGGAATATTCCTTAAATCACATAGGGATCCTTAATATGATTTAAGGTATATTCCTGAATTAAGGGATATTGGGCTCTTTGGGTGTCTGATTGGGTTATCCAGCTACACAACTTGGCAGGAAGCTTGGCAGTTTGCAGTTTGCAGTTTGCAGACGTTGATCCGCGCACTACACGGATCTTCCAAAGCCCCTTTAGCAAAGGAGCATACCCTAATTTTTTACTATGGATCATTATTATGAATTAGGGTATATTCCTGTATCAAGGGGTTTTGGAATACAGGAATATACCCTCATTCATAGTAGCGACCCATAGTATAAAACTTTCGGGTATACGGTATACTCCTTAGTTAAGGGTTTTTTTGGAAGATCTGGGTATGTACTGTATTGCGGTCCAGCAGCACTCCACCCTAAACCCTCAACCCTCAACCCTAAACCCTAAACCCGAAACCCTAAACCCTAAACCCTAAACCCTAAACCCCAGGCAACCCAAGGCTCCAAAGATCCGGCCTCCGAGGCCCTCGAGTCCAATGAGCTCGGAGATGGAGGAGTGGCTGCAGGTCGGCCAGCTTTGAAAGGGCTTCTGGGGTTTAGGGTTTAGGGTTTAGGGTTTAGGGCTTAGGGCTTAGGGCTTAGGGCTTAGGGCTTAGGGTTTCTGACCTCCGGCATGTTGGTTCCATCGGTTCTGGAAGCTTCCGGGTATTGTCCGGTTTAACAGCTGCTTTTGGGGGAGTGTGGCGCTGTTTTGTTGCCGGGGCTCCCTTCCAACACTTAGTTGCTGAGCGTGTACACTTCACACTTTTTGGGATACTATACTCCCGTAAGGAACTGAAAGTGTACACTTGTTTGGGGCACATGAACTCGGCAACTCAGCCTAGGACCTGCCACGGCCCGCTGTTATCCCCTGAGCCGAGGCTGAGCGACTCACTTCGCTCAGCAACGCCCTTGCTTGGCATGGCCCGGGGCCAAGAACACCCCCCCCCCCCCCACAAAGAAAAAAAACATATTCTTCCTTATAAGGGTAATATAGGGATCACTTTTTTTTTTTTTTGGGGGGGGTTCTTAAGCAAGTAGTAGACCTGAAATGGGCGTCACCTCAGCAAAGAGGGATTTGGATGCTTTTGGATGGTCTTGGTGTTGGCTCGTGCGCGTTAGGTGCCAAAATCATGGACCGCTGTTTGTGTTTCTTTCGGGTGGAAGAGTTGGAGGGAGGGAGTGGGCTATGAACACCTGCTGCTGCCGTGCTGACACAACCTATGGCAGCTATGGTATAGGCCCTCGGTAGGCTTTGTCGGTCATTGCGGTGGTCTCATGCCTCAGTAGCAAGACTTATATAAGGGTCCATACGCAACGAAGAGCAACATCCAGGCTGCAGAAACATGGCGGAATGTAGCTGAACACGATGGAACATGGTGTGCTGTGGTGCGCCGCGGCATGCTGCAGTATACCACGGACAGCAGCAGAACGTCGTGAAACTCCTTTTCGTGCAGAGACGCCCCGTGCAAAGTTGTAGGTCATAACTGTCATAGCATGCTATACCCCAATGGGGCATAGCCCCTCAAAGGCAATTGGCGGCCCCAGTGCAAGGCCCTCAGCCCCTGCTCCCTAGCTGTGTGAAACTTTCTGAAACACTCTTCGAAAGATTGTAGGCCCCCTACAAACCCTCTCCATGCCCTAAACCCTAAACCCTAAACCCTAAACCCTGTGTGAGAGTCGAAACCCTAAACCCTCAGCCCTCTGCGCTCAGTGACAGGCTACAAAGACCTCGAGTTGCTTCGTGACCTTTCGCCTGCTGAGGACGAGGACGCCATGAGGGGTTTAGGGTTTAGGGTTTAGGGTTTAGGGTTTAGGGTTTAGGGTTTAGGGTTTAGGGTTTAGGGTTTAGGGTTTAGGGTTTAGGGTTTAGGGTTTGGGGTTTAGGGTTTAGGGTTTGGGGTTTAGGGTGGTTTAGGGTTTAGGGTTTCCATCTCCGGGCGAAGTAGCCTGTCAAAAGGGTTTAGGGTTTCGGTTTTGAAGTGCTGTAATTGCAAGTGTATGTCTTGCTTTGATGGGCTTAGGGTTGAGGGAGAAGCGAGATCCCGGGCAGCAATGAGCCCGGATGCAAAAGGGGACACAGCACCAATTTACAGAAGGGGGCTCGGGAGTTATGGGGTTAAGTAAGTCATATTAATTACCCCTAAACCCTAAACCCTAAACCCTAAACCCTAAACCCTAAACCCTAAACCCTAAACCCTAAACCCTAAACCCTAAACGATATCGGTTGACCCGTCTCCCCAGAAGCTTCATGAGCCTCACTGAGGATCCTGAGGTTCTCAGAAGTAGGGGCTTCGAGGCTTCAGGTTTGAGCGTGACGTCTCGGTGGACACGAAAATTCTATAGCCCGCTTAGGTTTTCATTCTTTTAAAATATTTTAAAATTATTTACAAAACCCGAAAAAGAATACATTTACATATTCTACGAAGGTTCTGAGGGGAGTGTAGGATTAAGTGAGGCTTCTTTGGCAAAGCCCAGGCCCGACCTTGCTCGCCCCTAGATGTGTAGGCCATTGCTTTTTTTTCGAGTCCACCAAGGCAAAGGGTTCAGCACTTGATGAGATCTCTACTGTAGCAGGGCTAAGCTGAGACGAGTCAACCTCTAGTTTTTGCATCGTAGGAAACTTTTCGAAAAGCGGCGACGGGGGGCTGCTTGCTGAATAATTCCTTTTGCCCGACTGAAGCAAGCCAGACGTAGTTCTAGCCATCTGGTATCAATGTCGAGATGCAGATATCACGCACGTGCCGCGCAGGAGCTTTTCCAAGTGTTTCGGCCACGAACAGGCTGCCGCTATGGGTCTTCGAACGGCAGAAGCGTGGATGCTTGTTCACATGGAATTGCTAGCATTTCCTTAGCCACGCGTGGCTGTTTAAGCCTTTTGCTTGCAGGCTGCTCTCGGGGGCTTTGCGCTAAGAGGGCACCTGCCAGTGCTAGTGGTAGCCGAGGGGTTGCCGCGAAGAGTGGTTTGACTTCACACAATCTTAATTAACACCCTGTAGCTGAAGGCTCAGCCAGCGTTGGGATATTTTGAAACTGAGAATATCTCGAGGAGAAGGAGGGTGAATGCCGATGCAGCTATCTTCACCGAGCACGGCGTCACTTTATTGCCGATTCATCGTAACAATCGGGCGAAAGTTGTAGCGCACAATACTAGCACCCGCAACAGCTACATTGACATCCTCCTTAAGTGGCGGCCAGCACACACAGGGAACATGTTCTTGATGTCGTACCTATATGTACCTCAGTGAAGTATGTGTGTTTTCGACTGCGCCCCTTGCTTTGCGGCTCGTGTAATCTCCTCCAAAGTTCCCCCGGACAAGAACACCCAAGCAAGCACCTGAACAAGCTGCAGGGTACATCGCGCGTTTGCGCCGAGCCTTGCATTCGCTTCGCAGGGATCCCCAGCGCTTTTCCCGGGGCGCCGTGCTTTCAGAAGCGGTTCCCGAAGGGTCCATGTGCATAACTGGGAAGACTTGAGCCTTAAAGTACCTCCCATACCGGGACTTTTGGGCCCTGGTACATGGACCCTTATCCAGGCTCTTAGGAGGTCTCAGTATGTCGTAGTATGTCCATAGGGCATTCGGGCGGCTTCGAATGGGCCATACATGTCCATGTATGCCCAAGCGGGACCCAGTTCATGCTTCTCTACCTAAAGAGCCCAATATTGCTTAATTGAGGAATATGCCTTAAATCATATACGGAACCTTAATATGATTTAAGGAATATTCCCTAATTAAGCAATCTTGGGCTCTTTGGGTATAGTATCCCACAAGGCGACCCCGAGTTTCTCATCGCGACACATCCCCGCCTTAGCTAGGCTCGAAACTCTGACTATCTCTAAACCCCAAACCAGAACAATTGTTGACTCTTTCGCAGCCCCAAGAGGATAAAGTTTCGTTTGGGTTCGCAGTTTTGGCACGGCTAGCGGCGTGTGGCTCTGGAGAGGACACTGGTATCTACCGTTGCAATATGGCATAGGAGCACCCCTGGAAGGCTTGAACTCATCCTGCCCACGTATCCAGTGTCCCTGTTGCTTGGGGCAGGCTGTAGAGCACTTAAATAGGTATTCTGGCGCAAGGTTGCTGCAGCCATGTGCGGCCAAGATCGGCCAAGCGGCTCACGATATCAGACACAGGCCTGCTTCAAGCCAGTGGACAAGAAGGTTGCAAAGGAGGGAGATCTGGTAGTGGAAGAGTTCCCCATCTCTTTTGGTGGCTACGACTACATCTACGGGCGCATTGCCTATGTTGTTGGAAACTCGCCCGCGCCGGTCATCCTCGTCCACCACAACTACGCCGGTTTGAAGCAGTTTGACATCGATCAGGCGTGCTTTCTGGCGAAGGTGGGATACGTGGGCTTGGCTGTGGAATCTTGGCTTTTGGCAAACCATGTTGCATATCAGTGGGGTCAGGGACCAACATCCTCAATTCACGAGGTCGATTGGAGCTTCCACTGAAATAATAAATTGGCCCGAGGACTTGTACAAAGAGACCCCGGCTTACACCTACCAAGATCGGGCCTTAAACTCTGGGCGGATCGTTGACTTCGAGGCTGGGCACTTTACGGGACTGGTTCACGGTAGATTCCCGGGCTAGGGAATCAGAAAGGGCCCATTTTTTTTGTGGTACTAGATTTAAAAGTTCCACTTAAAAGTTCCACAGCCTTACGCTCCCGGTCGCATCGACACTGTTGCAGCTACAGCTGAGCCACGTAATCATGCGAAGTTTGAGAGATCAGAGCTGCGGGTCAGCGCGGTTTCTCGTTGCCATAGCCGCTACAGTAGTTGCAGTGCAGATCCAAAGGCCCTCAAAACTGATAAGAGCCGCAAAGGCCTGCAAGCACCAGGAACTCTACTCCACACTCGGGACCGCCTCAGCCGGTTCGCTTGTCCCAAACGGGCACCTCATCTTAGAAGCAGCAGATTTCAGGGCAGCAAGGACCCCAACCCATAGCAAAAATTCTATTTACTGCCTCCATCTCTCGCGGAAGTGGAGTGTCGTTGTAATGGCCCAAATGTCTCCGCGGAAGCTCCGCGGAAGCATGCTTTTTTCCCCACGCAGCGTTTCCAAGGAATGATACAATCACCACCGCTCAGATGTCTAGTGAGATGTCTTGCAATGACTGGGTGCTGCATCCGCTGATTTTGGGACGGCTGGGTGTGCAGGTGCTCCTGAACCCTATAAACCCTATAAGCCCTAAACCCTAAAACAGCACTAGAAAAGGTGCACAGGGTTGTTAAACAAAAAAAAACCTCAACCACTTGTTTACCCTAAACCCTAAACCCTAAACCCTAAACCCTAAACCCTAAACCCTAAACCCTAAACCCTAAACCCTAAACCCTAAACCCTAAACCCTAAACCCTAAACCCTGCCAGTATCCTGCTTTGCCCTGTAGGGCTTTTGTGCCGCTGCGCGTGCGGAGAATCCCATGGAGCGTGAAGACGCGCAGTACCCCGACGAGGACAGCTGGGTTTAGGGTTTAGGGTTTAGGGTTTAGGGTTTAGGGTTTAGGGTGGTTTGTATGATTTTTCGCCCATTTTCGCGGTTCAGGATTTAGGGTTTCCAGCTGGCGTAGAGAGTCTGGGTCAAAGAAGGGTTTAGGGTTTAGGGCTTACGGTTTGTTTGCTTTCTAACCAATATCCAGACCCAGAGGAGCAACTTAAGGCAGTATGCAGATCATTTTAAGAAGTCAGTGGGAGCTCGGCCTTGCCATCATCATTGCCAATAGTAGCGATGCTTCTCGCTGCATCTGAGTGAACTTTGTTCCAGTACTACGAAGTGTTAGACCGGTCACAATCAGAAGCCATTCTTGCAACCTTGGCATTCAAAGTCCGCGGGAACACCGTGCCAGCAAGCCACCAGCCACTTGATGGCACCCGGGAGAAAGGCATAGTTCATCGATTGCAAGGGATTCGACCATCTTCTTGCACCCGCACAGAAAAAGCGAAAGCCAGCAACAACTCCCTGAAGGCCAACTCCCCCACCCTTGGGATTCTGAAAGGGATGCAGGGGAGGGGAGGGGAGGAGTGCAGGCAATGGGTTTGAAAGGCCAGAAGGCTTTGAGCACACCCAAATTTCGACTTAGTACAGCACCGCTGCGGACCCCCCAAGCAACCATGGAAACCACAGATGACCGTTTCAGGAAGTCGATTTGTGAGAAGTCTGGGAAAAGTTGAATCGCCATCATTTTTGGATGGCGGCGGTTGCTGAATAGGTGCTGGAGGGTGGTATACTTCTTTGCTGTCGAATTGCAGTCTTCATAGTTTCCATCTGAATCTTGGTCTCCGCATCTTGGTGTGAGAGTTGCTGTTCACATTCTTGAATGGGATAGAGTTCCCCGGGCTCTCATGCAAGCTGAGGATGCACGAGCCGCACGGACACGCAAGCAAGCATCTGGCCATCTTAGCTTCTGTGGATTCTATGCGACAGCCTCGCAGGAGCTCCAGGGCTTCTTCGGTATGATGCCCAAAGACCCCAAGGACGATGGCAAGGTGCACTGGCAGGCGCCTTGCGACGGGAAAGCTTATGTCGGGCTTTTGCGAGCTCCATGCTGCCACTTACTTACCACGGCGTTCTCTTTGAAGAGGCTGTTGCGAAGACATGGGGCTCAAGTCGCAGTATTGAGCCTGAAGTGTATTGGGAGTGATGTTCCGAAGCCTGATGGGCAAGACATGCATTGCTGAAGAGTTAAGCGTATAACGGGGTGTGCTTTCTCCACTGTCTCTTGGGCCTGGACTTTTGGTCAGGGTATTCGCCACTTCATCGGAGCGTTTCGCCAGATGAACGCACTTCTGCGGGCACCAGGCTGGCTTTGAAAAGCTTATCTGGGAACCTAGGTAGTAGTTTTAAAGTTTTAAGTGCATTATGTGCACAAGGCAGGCATACATACATACATAATCATACATGCATACATACATAGATACATACATACATACATACATACATACATACATACATACATACATCATACATACATTATACATACATACATACATACATGCATACATACATACTGTTTCAAGGCCAGGTTTTGGGCTTGGAGCCGGTTTAGAGATGAGCACGTGCAGAGCCAGGATGGCTGTCGATATGGTTCAAAGAGAGGCGCCTTCTGGCGGTTGGATGCGGAGTTTCCCAGCGCATAGGGCATATAGGGTTTAGGGTTTTTAGGGTTTTTAGGGTTTTTAGGGTTTAGGGTTTAGGGGACAATTTGGGCAAGACTCCTTGCTCTGCTTTAGGGGAGTAGCATTGAGAGTTGGGACTCAAAGGCATGCCCACAGGTGGCCACAGATCAAGCAAAACGGGTGCTGAAGGAGTGCCAATGATCTACAGCCCTTTGCATCCACTGCGTGGGTCACATCGTGCAGCGTCGCACAAATCCGGCCACACCCTCGAAAAGATAAATTGAAATACTCCTCATGATGCCCGCTTTGCGCGAGCCATTGCTTCCCACGTACTCATCCAATGGCAGACTGGGGAAGATTTTTTTATGGAGGGCTCAGAGGGCAAACCTAGACGAAGGCCGCAGCAAAATTTCATTCAGGTGTCCCGTTCAAGGGCCTGAATCTGCAGATCCGAACTCAGGCAACTGGCGCGGGCTTATGGATGCATTTCTGCAGAAGGCCTTTGCTCACCCGGCCGTGCCCCTGCTCTCAAGCAAAAGTTTCGGTTTGGCTTTTTGTTTCGCTCCCTTGAGTCCTTGCTCATCCCTAGTGCTTCTTAAGTTGAACATACACAAAATTCGAACCTTCCCTTCGATCCATCGTGATCTTCTTGTTATGATCCTAGGTAGGATAAGGGGGGCCCTTCAAAGGGTACCCCTTCTGAATCCTCTTCTGGCTCCCTTAAACAGGGACCTTATTCAGAGGGTCTATATCCCCAAGGGTCCCCCTCATCCTCTCCCCTATGTGATGGAAGCAGCCTCTAAATGCCCCGGAGTCGATTCCTCACCCTGCCGGTTTCTTGGGTTTTCTTTACACGCGCTCATGCAGAATCTGCGCAACATCCACCTGTGTTAGCCAACCTGCACTGCAGTTAACCCTAAACCCTAAGCCCTAAACCCTAAACCCGAAACCCTAAACCCTAAACCCTAAACCCTAAACCCCCTAGTTAAAATAGCGGAAGCGAAAATCTGAACTCTGAAGAAAGGTCAAGGCTGGCCATGCCGCGGCTATCGGCTACTGCCTGGGCGGCCAAAGCTGTTTGGAGCAGGCCCAAGTTCCCCCACCACCCCTCTTTAGGGTTTAGGGTTTAGGGTTCAGGCTTTAGGCCCCCCCCCTCCGAGAATCCCGATTCCTGTTTCCAAGCACACCGTGCCTGAAAGGGCATCCCATTGTTGCTGCCCTAAGCCCTACAACCCTAAACCCTAAACCCCTCATCCCTCCCTCTAAACCCTATAGACCATGTAAACCCTATAAACCCTCTAAACCCTCTAAACCCTTTAAACCCTATAAACCCTATAAGCCCCATAAACCCTATAAACCCTATAAGCCCTATAAGCCCTATAAACCCTAACCCAGAGTGTCCGAGTATCCCTTAGGGACGGCTCTCCCAGGTTCGCGCAGGGCACCAGATCCAGGCAGTCAACTGTGCCATGAGTTGTCGAGACAGGTGTTGAGGGGATCCATTTCAAAGAGTTCCACATAATACATATATATGGTTCAGCGTCGAGCGTCCTGGGCCCCCCCCCCCATGGTATCCCCCCCCCCCCCAAGCCTACTCTACGGTCCCTAAACCCTAAACCCTAAACCCTAAACCCTAAACCCTAAACCCTAAACTAAAACCTAAACCCTAAACCCTAAAACCTAAACCCTAACCCAACCACACCACAGGGGGGGGGGGGTAGGGGGGGGGGGGCCCGCCGGGGCCGAATCATATATATATATATACATAAATAAATATACATATATATATATATATATGCTGAGGAGTGTAATTAGCGGCACCTGCAAGCGCAGAAACGCCTACATGCAGCTGTCGCAACTTCGCGGAGAATCAGCTCCAAAAAGTCCAAGTATGCGTCAGGCTATTTGCAGCTTCCATGGCTTGCTGCACTCGAGGCCACAGGGGTCCAGGAGGGTTTGGGGCGGGGGTTTTGAGCCGGCTGCGATCGGTTGGTGGGGATGTGCAAGTCTCAGTGTCATGGAGAAAAAGACGCTTTGTGAGCAAAGCGCCAGAGTATATGTGTATATGAAATGGGTGTATATGGTTTCAGTTTAGTATTCATATGAAAAAGTATGTACATATGAATATGTATACACATACAAAAAACACGCGTACTCCTGGCATGCGTATATTGATTTCCATGCTTGTTTGAAGCAGTGCCTCTCTGTGTGTCAGCAACTCCTATAGACCTCACGGACCATGACTGAAAGCGTAGCCATCATGACCCCATGGTGACAGGCGACTCCTTCCAGCCCATTCTGCAAAGTACCTCCCAACAAATCGAAGGGGTTTAGGCTTTAGGCTTTAGGCTTTAGGCTTTAGGCTTTAGGCTTTAGGCTTTAGGCTTTAGAGTTCACAAGGGTTTTCTTCCCAAAAGTCTCCGCAGCCCCCTGCGTTCTTCAGACACTTGAGCGCTCAGGCCCACGACCGAAGCAGAGCCCCTCAATTCCCTGAGGCTCGGCAAGAACGTTTTTTTCCTAGGGTTTAGGGTTTAGGGTTTAGGGTTTAGGGTTTAGGGTTTAGGGTTTAGCGTATCTCTATACCTTTTCGCAGGGCCGACCAAACCCATTTTCTGTCAGCGGCTTGTCGGCTGCGTGCTGGCCTGCGCTAGACAGGTGACGGAAACAAAATCGAGGGTTTAGGGTTTAGGGTTTGCTGTGATAGGGCGTAGATGCTGTGAAGGTTAGACGTTGGAACAAACTCGAAAGCTTCGTGGGGCGCGAAGAGCATCTTTGGCCCGATTGTGAAAGGCCATCTAACTCTTTTCTCCCACCCCACGCCGTGCGGCCAAGCCACCCAAACCTATTCGGTTCTTCCGTGTTGGGACGTTCCGTCAGGGGGTTGTCAGAGGGTTTCTGGGTCCGAGAGCCACCCTGTCAGGGAAGGCAGGGGGTGGGAAGGGAGTTGCTGCTCAGGAGGGGGGGCGGGGGGGGGGCGTCCCACGGGGGTCCAGGAGGGTCCCAGGATAGGTCCCAGGTTTTACGGGGGGAGTGGCAGTGAGGGATCAAAAATGCAGTTTCCCGCCTGAGGTGGCCCCTGGTCCTTGAGCACGCTGCGGCGAGGGATCCGGGACTCCCCTTGGCCTGGGGCCCTTGGGGTACAGCAAAACACTTTCAGAAGCTTGGGGCCCGGTTTGTTATTTTTGTTGATATAAAACCCAAGAGGATATTAAAAGCACTATTTTATTAAGGTCTAAGGGGAGTATAGTTTAGGGCAATGACTTGAATAAGGGACCAGTACTGGTTTCGAGGAGAACGTGCTCCGGTACCGGGCCTATCGTGGGTGCTACCGACCTCCGATCTGTGGGAGACGGGCGAACGAGCTGGGTCGACTTGCGCCATCCAGGTCGAGGAGCTTAGGCGCCGCCCCCCAACTGTAGGGGGGCGGCCTAGGCCTTGAGTCTAGGGTTTAGGGTTCCCAGCCCAGTTGGAAACAAAAAAAAGGGTTTAGCGAGGAAGTTCCGGCAGAAAGGGAAACCGAAGATTTGGTCTTGAGGCCTGCAACAGACGAAGCTCCAAAGCCCATCGGATCTTAGGAAGCGCATGTCCAAGGAGGACTTTGACAAGGAACTTGCTATTCCCAACACGCCCCTTGATGCATTCACATGCGTCAGTGGGGTTGCAAGCATGCCCAGTGCTGCTCTTTGCAAGTTCAAGCTTAGAATGGGAAGAAACCAGGTACAACACGGCTGCCCGCGTGCTGATTCAAAACGGGGCAGAGGATGCGGAGGTTCCTGCTGATACCATCATGGACTTCATGCAGGACTGTTTGGGCGTGCTATGGGAGTTAAAAGGCGACGCGACCTTGTTTGCCCTTGGCGCGAATTCCTCATAATGGACATGCGAAAGGTTTCATGATATGTGTGTACTATGGCCTCAGGGCATGTGTCGCTCACTCGTGCCCTTATGAATCTTAACTAATCCCGCCCCCGTTCATTCCCTGTCCGAGCTCCGTCTCAACATCCTTTCTAATCGTTTGCAAAAAGCCGTACTTCAAAACTCAGAACACCCAAATGCTCAGCATTGCTGCA